TGCAATGCCCATGAACCCCAATTAAACCAGCTTAAGCCAAAAAGAAAAGGCATTGACTCATACAGCTGAAAGTCCAGCTTTCAGTCCACACTGTAAGTCAAGACTTCAGGCATAGCTAGATCAAGCAGAGCCCTTTTTAATTTGTTTCTCTCCATACTCTCAGCCCTGCTTTCTTCCATGCTGGAAGTTCCTGCAAATATCTTAACACTGAGGTTAATTAAGCTGATTTAGATCACATGTTGACCCTTCAACTGTGGACTATCTTGATCAGCCAGGCCTGGGTCCTGTGTCCACTGCCCCTGGTTTCTAAATTCAGGCAGCTGAATTCAAGAGTCCTTTGAGTGTCCTCACTCATCCTGTAATTCCTGGATCACGTTTTTGTCACAGGATTTCAACAGATCACATGGTCAAGGCCTTAGGGAGGTGGTTGGGGATTCACATATGCCCTGGACCATCTGGAGCCCAAGGGCTGCAGACCCTGTCACCAGGAGTGCACACCCTCTGGCCACCATAGCAAAGAAGTCTGCAGGCAGGAGGTAGGCAGTAGGGCAGGACTGCTTATTCTGTATGGAAGAGGCAATATCTGACCCCAACATGACAGATGCCAGGAGCACGAGAAAAGCCCCCCTTGCCCCGAAGAGAACCCTTGCTCCCCCATCTTCTGGTTAGTGCCTGAAATTCTACCATGACCGTCTTACTTTAACCTTAGGCCCACGTTAAGGTATAGATACCCATGAGAGTTACTATCAAGCATTCTTGTTGTGAAGAGTTAGAAAACAGGTTTTGTTAACAAGAGGGAATAAAAATCAGTGTAGGGTAGGAGATGAGAAATTACAAAGACTATGAAAGACCTTGGGGGTAGGAGGTGAGAAATTGCAAAGACTGAAAGACCCTGTCACTTCCCAGCATGCTTGGGACCGGAGCTGGACAGGGCAAGGGGTTGGGATATAGGTAAGTGACAAGGTGTTTTCTATATCAAGCGAGAACTCGGAGAAAGCACGATTGGAGTGTCACTGAAATGCCAGGGGTTCTGTCTAGGTCTTGCTGTCGGCCGCTCAGAAAGCCAATCACTGAGACAACGAGTATTGCCAGGGAAGAAGGCTTAGGCTTTAATCTGGTGGTGCAGCTGAGGTGAACAGGAGATAAAGTCTCAAATCTGTCTCCCCAATCGATTAAAATTGAGGGATTTACATAGTGGGGAAGGTGGAAAAACAGGAATTAGGGAGAGGTAAAGAAGCAGTCAGGATGGGGAGTCTGGTGTCTCATTGTCTGGAGGTAGTAATCTGATGGGTTTTAGTTCCTTGCCTGAGGGTCAGTTTCCTGAGGAAGAAACTCTGATGAGATGAATCTGTTTCAAGTTTTAAGACCAGGGAGAGTCCATTTCTATGTTTATTCAACAAACTATAAATATTAGCTTATTAGCTTTATGGGACAATTGGGCTGATTTCAAAAGGAAGCCCAATGGATAGTGATTGCATAATGGAAGGGAATCCAAGAACCAAGTCCTTTTTTTTTTTTTTTTTTGAGATGGGGTCTCACTCTGTTGCCAGGATGGAGTGCAGTGGTGTGATCTGAGCTCACCGCAACCTCCACCTCCTGGGTTCAAGCAATTCTCCTGCCTCAGCCTCCAAAGTAGCTGGGACCACAGAGGCGTGCCAACACACAGAGCTAATTTTTTGTATTTTTAGTAGAGATGGGGTTTCACCATGTTAGCCAGGATGACCTCAATCTCCTGACCTCGTGATCCTCCTGCCTCAGCCTCCCAAAGTGCTAGGATTACAGGCTTGAGCCACTGCACCTGGCCTTTTTTTTTTTTTTCCAAGATGAAGTCTCTGTCACCTAGGCTGGAGTGCAGTGACACGATCTCAGCTCACTGCTACTTCTGCCTTCCCGGTTCAAGCAATTCTCCTGCCTCAGCCTCCCAGGTAACTAGGATTACAGGCGCACACCACCATGCTGGCTAATTTTTGTATTTTTAGTTGAGACAGGGTTTCCCATACCAGGCTGGTCTCAAACTCCTGTCCTCAAATGATCCTCCCACCTTGATCTCCCAAAGTGCTGGGATTACAGGCGTGAGCCACCACACCCGGCCAAGAACCAAGTCTTAAAGGATTGAGAGGTGGGACAGGTAAAGGGCTGAGATAGGGGTAGGACATTCACAGTGGGGAAACAAATTGAACGAATGAGTGGAGATTGAAATAAAATCTGTATGTGCTGGTATTTTTATTTTTGCAATGCCTGCTGTATACCTGGCCACTTTACAGACAAATTCCCTTTTCTTTGTTCCATAAATAATTTTTAAAATTGTGATAAAATATACATAACATAAAATTTACCATTTTAACCATTTTTAAGTGTGCAGTTTGGTGGTATTAAGTATATTCACATTATTGTGCTACCATCACGTGTCCACCTCTAGAACTTTTTCATAATTCTAAATTGAAACTCTACAGCCATTAAACACTGATTTCCCATTTCTTCCTCTCTGCAGCACCTGCTAGCCATGATTCTTCTTTCTGTGTCTATAAATTTGACTATTTCAGGTACTTCATATAAGTGGAATCATACAACATGTGACCTATCGTGTCTGGCTTACTTTACTTAGCATAATGCCTACAAAATTCATCCATGTTGTAGCATGTATCAGAATGTCATTCCTTTTTTTTTTTTTGAGATGAAATCTCACTCTTGTTCCCCAGGCTGGAGTGCGATGGCACAATCTTGGCTTACTGCAACCTCCGCCTCCCAGGTTCAAGCAATTCTCCTTTCTTGGCTCCCTGAGTAACTGGGATTACAGGCACCTGCCACCAGGCCTGGCTAATTTTTGTATTTTTAGTAGAGATGGGGTTTCACCATGTTGGCCAGGCTGGTCTAGAACTCCCCTCCTCAGGTGATCCACCCGCCTCGGCCTCCCAAAGTGCCGGGATTACAGGCGTGAGCCACCGTGCCCAGCCCAGAATTTCATTCCTTTTAAAGCTGAATAGTATTCCATTGTGTGTATACACCACATTGTTTTGTTTTGTTTTGTTTTTTAGATGGAGTCCCACTGTGTCACCCAGGCTGGAGTGCAATGGCATGATCTCCACTGACTGCAACCTCTGCCTCCCAGGTTCAAGCAATTCTTCTGCCTCAGCCTCCCGAGTAGCTGGGATTACAGGCACCTGCTACCATGCCCAGCTAATTTTTGTATTTTTAGTAGAAACAGGGTCTCACCACGTTGACCAGGCTGGTCTTGAACTCCTGACCCCAGGTGATCCACCCGCCTCAGCCTCCCAAAGAGCTGGGATTACAGGCATGAGCCACCATGCCCGGCCACCACGTTTTATCTATCCATCCTTCGATGGACATTTTGGGTTTTTCCACCTTTTGGCTATTTTGAATAATTCTGCTATGAGCAAGGGTTTACAAATATCTGTTTGAGTCCCTGCTTGCAATTCTTAGTGTATGCACCCAGAAATGGAATTACTGCATCATATAGTAATTCTTTACTTAATTTTTTGAGGAACTACCATACTGTTTTCTACAGTGACTGTACCATTTTACATTCCCACCAGCAATGCACAAGGGTTCCAATTTCTCCATATCCTCACCAACACTTTTTTTTTCTTTCTAAAGTAATAACCCCCCTATTGGGTATGAGGTAGTAACACATTGTGGTTTTGATTTGCACTTCCCTAATGATTAGTGATGTTGATCTTTTTTTGTGTGTGCTTATTGATCATTTGTGTATCTTCTTTGGAGAAATGTCTTGAAATTCTTTGCCTGTTTCAAAATTGGGTTTGTTGTTGTTGAGTTGTAGGAGTTCTTTATATATTCTGGATATCAGTCCATTAATAGACTATGTGATTTACAAATATGTTCTCACCATTGAATATTATGTTGTTGGATTTTCACATATGGCTTTTATTATGTTGAGGTAGTTCTATTTCTCATTTGTTGAGTGGTTTTATCATGAAAGTGTGTTAAATTTTGTCAAGTGCTTTTTCTGCATCAGTTGAGATGATAATGTGTTTATTTTTCACTTTCATTCTGTTAATGTGATATATTACATTGGTTGATTTTTGTGTACTAAACCATCTTTGCATTCCAGGAATAAGTCCCACTTGGTCACGGTGTGTAATCCTTTGAATATGTTGCTGCATTTGGTATCCTAGTACTTTGTTGAAGACTTGTGCATCAATATTCATAAAGGATATTGGTCTGTAGCTTTCTTTTTTTGTAGTGGCTTTGGTATCAGGGTAATGCTAGCTTCATAGAATGACTAGTAAGTGTTCCCTCTTCCATTTTTTGAAAGGTTTGAGAAAGATTGGTGTTAGTTCTTCGTTAAATGTTTGGTAGAATTCCACAGTGAAGCCTTGAGCTCAGAGCTATAGAGAGGGATTTCATAAGAAGGAAGCAGACCAATTGTTCATGGTCTGTGAAAGAAGCAATAAAAGAAACAGGCTCAGGTTAGGAAAGGAAAGGTGGTGTTTGGAGAGTAGGGAGAAAATCCTTGCCCAAAGAATGGTCAAGGCCTCTAACCTGGACCTCTCAGAGGAGGGGATGAACAGGCCACAGCCTCGTGGTTCTCCAGCCTCCAGGTGATGGGCTGGGGTTGGACTGGCTCTCTGGTGTCTCTAACTCAAGGGCTCCATGATTCTGTGATGTCACTGAAGAGAGAAGAATGGGGAGCTGGGCTCAGCTCCAGCTGTTCCGATTCCTCTCTCCTCTGGATCCTGATAGTTTTTGGGATGAGGGAGGTGAGCTGCGTGATCACACGTGTCCCAGCTCAGTCTCCCCTCTGGCCACCTCAGCCCCCACCACAGTTATGGAGAGAAACTAGCCAGTGTGAGTCAACTGCACAACAAGCAGAGCATCTTTCATGAAGCTGAACTGACCAAAAGAACAACAATGAAAACAGCTTTTTGTTCCTCTGTTTCTAGAAAACTTAAAGAACAAGAGAACTACATTCAAATTGAGTTGGAAAAGAATATTTGGACAATCTGTGATTGTGAGAGTGGATGAGTCTTCTAGCTAAACCTATGAGCTTTGAAATCACAGCAATCACTTTCTTCATCATCCTTCTAATTTGCTTCATTTGCATCCTCCTTTTATTGGTGGTTTTTTTATATAAATGGTATAAATCCATGCTGATAATTGGGATCAGATTTCAAGTCACATTAGCAAATGTATCTAGAAATAATGTAAACAATTTAAAATAGAACAAGTAATGATACCATCATTATCTACTTTTTTCATTTCAGCATTTTAGAAATGCTGATATGCTGTTTAAAAGTGAAGTTTCTATGCCACACCTTAAAATCAGGGCCATTCTTCCTTTTCTGAATTTGTGGCTTGTTTGTTTTCAGTTTCCAAGGCAGGAAAGGTAAAGAGACAAAGAAAGTGCCTTGTACAGATGCAAACGGAGGTGTAGACTGTGCAGCTGCTGAAGTGGTGACAAGCAATCCAGGGGACCATGAAAGGCGAGTGTGGCGCAGGATATGTCAGAGGCCATTTTGTGCGTGATAGTGGGGATGAGGATGCATGAATGTTTAAAACTCTACCGATTAATTTTCTAGGGTATTAATGCAAGTCATGAATTTGGATGTGCCGATGAGGCCTGGCATTCTTGTCCAGAGACAGAGTAAGGAAGTGTTGGCCACACCCTTAGAAAACAGAAGGGACATGGAGGCAGAAGAGGAGAACCAAATAAATGAGAAGCAAGAGCCTAAGAATGCTGGAGAAACTGGTCAAGAAGAGGTGATATGTTTTTCTACTCTCAAGGAGCAGTTTAGAATTTGTTTGATTGAAAAGAAGGTACATTCCTCAGCTAGGTATAATAATAGGAGATGGAGGGCCAGGTGCGGTGGCTCACGCCTGTAATCCCAGCACTTTGGGAGGCCAAGGAGGGCGGATTATGAGGTCAGGAGATCGAGACCAGCCTGGTCAACACGGTGAAACCCCTATCTCTACTAAAAATACAAAAATTAGCCGGGCGTGGTAGCACACGCCCATAATCCCAGCTACTTGGGAGACTGAGGCAGGAGAATCACTTGAACCCGGGAGTTGGAGGTTGCAGTGAGCCAAGATCGCCACTGCACTCCAGCCTGGCGACAGAGCGAGACTCCATCTCAAAAAATAAAAGTAAAATAATAATAATAATAATAATAGGAGATGGAGTTGCCTGTAACTTAGGTTTGTAGGTAGAATGAGTCCAATGCCCACAGTCATTTAAGCCATTCTAGTTGCTTATCAGTTCATGTTACTAAACCATTACATATGCCAAGTCTAGAAACTTGCTTAGTCTTCATTCTTATATTTGTGTTTTTCTCAATAATTCCCCTTCAGTTTGTTTTTCTCAAAATCCTAGAATCTTAGAGCTGTTAAGAGATTATCTAGTGATCCAACCCTCTCCTGTTTCCAATGAGAAAATGAGATGAATTGTTTACCTCTCCACTGTGGCCAAGCTTAGGCCCACACTGTGGCCCCCTGTCCTAGCTCTAGGGTCCTACAACAGCACACAGCATGGCTGGGGCCTTCTTGAGCTCTGTGTCTGGGACTCCCTAATAAGAACAACTCACATGCCCTCCCACCACATGGCCATGCCCAGTCCACGACAGAATGATGGTCCTGATGGCTCTTGGGTTTGACCACTTCGTGGAGAGAATTACATGTCACCAAATGTTATTTGAATATGTCAGTGTATGCTTTTATAACCATAAAAATGTGAAAATGTGATAGATTATTGCTGCTTTCCTGTATCATTTAGAAATGCTTTTTCTGTTTATCGTTAACAGTGTACATATAACCTATAATTTTAAAAGCAGGGCATGTCATAAATTGATTATTTGTTTATATTGTTTGTCCCATTCTCTTGCAGGATGATGGTTTGCAGAAAATACACATATCTGTCACTAGAACTCCATCAGCTGTTGAAAGCCAAAAAAGACCTTTAAAAGGAGTGACATTTTCTAGGGAGGTAATTGTTGTGGATCTTGGAAATGAATACCCTACACCTCGAAGCTATACTCGAGAACATAAAGAGAGAAAATGAAGCTCAAAAAAGGGTAAGAGTGAAAGAAAATGTAACCTTTGACTAACATTGAAATGACTGAGGGTACAAAATCATGTTGAAACAACAAAACAATGGGGAATTAAGCAAATAAAGATAGTATTTTACCTTTGTGCAGAAAGAAGTGGGCCATATGCAAAATTCTGTAAGTAAAATACTTAGAGCTTGAATATAGTTTTTTAAAAATTGAAATCTGAGTTCAAGAAATTGATTTCATTGCCCTTAAAACTGTCTACTCAAACACCGTTCTGGCATGTGAATAAAGTGATTTTTGTTTGTACATATGCCTATTATGTACATCATTATTCAAGGGGGATTTTTTGAAATAATACATGTTCTGCATCCTCTGATCATAGGCATTCATGACCAAATAACATTACAGCTGTCCTCACGGAAGCTTCCATAACTGTCATCTTCTACTACATAATCCCCATTGAACTCAGTCCTGAAATGTTTCTTGTACTGACCACTGCTTTTTAAAAATTGGTACAGGCTGGGCGCGGTGGCTCCTGCCTGTAATCCCAGCACTCTGGGAGGCCGAGGTGGGTGGGTCACCTGAGGTCAGGAGTTTGAGACCAGCCTGGCCAACTTGGTGAAACTCCATCTCTACTAAAAATACAAAAATTAGCCAGGCGCGGTAGTGCGTGCCTGTAATCCCAGCTACTCCGGAGGCTGAGGTGGGAGAATTGCTTGAACCAGGGTGCCGAGATTGTGCCACTGCACTTCAGCCTGGGCAACAGAGAAAGACCCCGTCTCAAAAAAAAAAAAAAAAATTGGTACAGAAAACAAACTACACCAGCCTGGGCAATATAGGGAAACTCTGTCTTGACGAAAAATAAAAATAAAATAAAATAAGCCTGGCATGGTGGTGCATGCCTTTGGTCCCAGCTACTAGGGAGAAACAGGCCAGACATGGTGGCTCACACCTTTAATCCCAGCACTTTGGGAGGCTGAGGTGGGCAGATCACCTGAGGCCAGGAGTTTGAGACCCAGCCTGGCCAACATGTAAAACCCCATCTCTACTAAAAATACAAAAAAACTAGTAGGGCGTGGTAGCGCACTCCGTACTTATCTTTGGGTTTGCTACAGCCGGGAGACTGAGGCAGGGGAATTGCTTGAACCTGGGAGGCAGAGATTGCAATGAGCTGAGATTGTGCCACTGCACACCAGCCTGGGTGACAGAGGGAGACTCCATCTCAAAAAATAAAACAAAAACACAAACTACTACCAACAACAAAACATCCTATTATTTTAGGCAAGTCCTGATATTATACTATTCTTGATTTCAGTGGTTTAAATCTTGCTGTCCATGTGTGAAATATGACAGTACAGACTGGTACGACATCATCCACACACCTGCAGTATACATTTGTGAAATGTCTAAGGGGCTCTGAGAGACAGAAAAAGCAGATTCGTGTAATTCAGGGGCTTAGCCCATTGTCATGTGGATGTTCCATAAATGTCTGTGGAATGGTTGGGAGTATAAGTGATAAATATTTTAGAATGTGGAACTATTGCCAAATGGGGTGTACTGACACCCTCTGCTGGGAGGCATGTCGCTGTGGGCTGGGACCATCCCACTGTGAGGAGGAAAAGGGACTTAGACAAATGGAAGGATTAGATAGATAAGACAAGCAGCTGGGGAAGAACATGAGCCAAGGCAAAGAGGTGAGGATGTATATTGGGTTTGATTCACGCCAGTTGGCTGGCGCTGAAGGTGGATGTAGAGGAGAGTTGAGGGGCAACAGTGAAGTGTGGTGAGAAGTCAAAGTGAGGTTCACTTAGGATCCCAGGCTAAGGGTATAAAGTGGGAAATGGATCCAAGCTGTGTGGACTGCTGGGGGAGGTTGCCTGCGCATATATTCAGAGTCTCTTTACATTTTTTGTCTTTCGCCTGATGATAATACTAAATTTAAAATTTTTTTCATTTTGGTAAAAGATATATAACATAAAACTTGCCATCTTAACATTTAATTTTAATTTTAATTTTAATTTTTGAGACAGTGTCTCACTCTGTTGCCCAGGCTGCAGTGCAGTGGTGTGATCAGGACTCATTGCAGCCTTGACCTCTGGGGCTTAAGCAATCCTCCCACCTCAGCCACCAGAGGAACTGGAACTACAGGCACATGCCACCATGTCCAGCTAACTTTAGTATTTTTTGTTGAGCTAGGATTTCATCATGTTGCCCGGGCTGGTCTCGAACTGCTGAGCTCAAGCAATCCACCCACCTTGGCCTCCCAAAGTGCTGGGATTACAGGTGTGAGCCACCATGCCTGGCTTCATCTTAGCCACTTTTAAGTGCACAGTTCAATAGTGTTTTAAGTACATTCACATTGCAGTGCAACTGTCACCACAGTTTTGTAGAAGTTCCAATAGAGGAACATGATGGGAAAATTGGCCATCAACACCTATAACCATATAGGCACATGGAATTCCAGAAGGCCATCCAGATCATGACTATAACGTGAACAGCAGAACAGTCAACAAAGAGCATCTGGCACTAAATGTCCATTTGACTTTTATTGGTTCTGTGCTTTTGTTGTATTTGATTTGTAAATATCTTTTAAAGTTGGATGAAAGCTCTTAGGTTAGGGAGTTGATATCCATCCTTGCATTTCTATATATTTTTAAGTGACACTATAATATAAATAATCTTAGGTAATAAGGGAAGAAGTCCATTAGAGCTTTCCTCCAGGAGTAAGTTATTGAGGATTAGCAACTCGGAGGTGGTAAATGGAGATGGCTTCAGTGACAATTCAGATTTGAAGGATGTGGACCTGGAATAGGAGGTGGCAGAATGTAATGAGAAGATGAAAGATTAAGGCACATCACTTCCTGGTTAGATGTGGCAGGAGCGAGAGGAGGGCGCAAAGATGGCTCCTGAGTTTGGATACCTGCGAGACAGGAATAGGAGAGTCCAGAGAAGTAACTAGTTAGGGCAAAAAGATAGGCAGGTGTTAGCTCTGTTAAATTTGAAGTACTGACTACAGATTCAACTGAAGATGCTCCGTGGACAGTGAAGCTGTAGGGCTCCATGTGTCTATCTCCTAAGCTATGGCTCCAGAGAAAAGTTGAGCAGTTTTTTGTCAATGCCTGTTGGTGTTTCTCTTGCAAAAGTGGGATCAAACTTGCCACTTTACCTCTTTAATTAGCTGTTGGTCCAGGGACTTTCTTCAAATGACTGCCTCAAACAGGACACATCACCCAAAAGCCAAAAGGGAAAAGTTTGATAAAGCTTGGACTACTTAAAATTTTTGTTTGTTTGTTTAGCAAAAAAACAAAACAAAACAAAAAAATATATCAAGTCAAAACTCCAACAACAAACTAGGAAGGCCTATTTTTAAAACAACTTTTTTTTTGAGAAGGGGTCTCGCTCCGTCACCCAGGCTGGAGTGCAGTGGTGCGATCTCGGCTCACTGCAAGCTTCGCCTCCCGGGTTCATGCCATTCTTCTGCCTCAGCCTCCCGAGTAGCTGTGACTACAGGTGCCCGCCACCACGCCCGGCTAATTTTTGCATTTTTAGTAGAGATGGGGTTTCACCATGTTAGCCAGGATGGTCTCGATCTCCTGACCTCGTGATCTGCCTGCCTCAGCCTCCCAAAGTGCTGGGATTACAGGCGTGAGCCACCACACCCGGCCTAAAGCAACTTTTATACTGAAATAATTTCAGATTTATAAAAAGGTTGCAAGAGTAGTAGAAAGAACTTCACTCAGATTCCTCAGTTAACAGTTTACCACAATAGTCTTACCATTTTCTCTCTCCATACATACATATTCACATTTTTACAGCATTTGAGAGTAAGATGCAAACATTATGTATCATTTGCCCTTGGTACTTCAACACATATTTCTGAAAATCTGCAACATTCTCCCAGATAACTGCAGGTCAACCATCAATTAAGATTGATTCACTATTACCACTATCTATCTGCAGTCCCCATTCAAAATTTGCCAGTGTCCCAATTTAATATATATATTAAATATATATGTATAGAAGAACATGTATATAGATACATCCCTTCCATCATGTTCTGGTTGGTGAGAAGCAAGTCACTAAGTCCAGCCCATGTTCAAGGGCAAGGAGATTATACCTTTTGAAGGGGAAAGTTTCAAAAAAGTTGTGGACCAGAGTATCCATTTCTGTAGCTATCTATCCTTATACATGACCATGGGCTCACACCAGCACCTCCAATTCCAATCCAATGGGGTGTATTATAGCTTTACTCACTCCATATTTGTAAACCCCTTCTCTAATAACAAGAAATCTGGCTTCCATTATGCTCAATTTACTTACTTATTGCTCAGTCCCCTGTTTATCATGATTCCACCAAACACAGGGTCAAGTATCCTCAGCTCCAGCATTATTGACTCTGGTGATTGTTATGCTGGGAAATGTTTTTTTTTTTTAATTTATGACCAAAAGTTGATTTCCTTATAGAGAAATGATTAAGAACATTCAGATACATAAGAAATTATTTCACCCATAGGAATAAGAAAATATGAATCACCTAGTTTTAAATTGGCAAAGATAATATGTATAGGCAGAAAAATAAATGGCCAAAAAAAAATTAGATGCTCACCTGACTTCAAAAAAAAAACTAAAGTAAAAGAATAAATATTTATTCATAAAAAAATTATATTGATTTTTAGTCTATCATACTGTCAAATATTAGAAAGATGGCTGATACTGGTGAAGGGTTAAAGAAGAGGAGGAAAAGAATTCTCATTAGACAAAAGTAACTGACCCGTGAACAACATGGGCCCACTTATATGCAGATTTTTTTCAGTAAAAGTTACTGAGTGTGTGCCTGCCTCTCCTGCCTCCCCTTCTACCTCCTCCACCTCTTCCGCCTCTGCCAGCCCTGAGACAGCAAGACCAAGCCCTCCTCTTCCTCCTCCTCAGCCTACTCAGCATGAAGACGATAAGGATGAAGACCTTTATGGTGATCTACTTCCACTTAATGAACAGTAAATATATTTTCTCTTCCTT